ATCTGATAATCTGGTATCAGAAGAGATTTTCTTAATTTTTTTTTAAATTTAATTTTTTTCCCCTAAAATACGAAGTCCAGAGGTGTAGGAAGTGCAAGATGAAATCTATATTCAATAGTAATTAACAACCCCAGCTCCTGTAAACTTGTTACAGCAATAAAGGTAATCAGCCTTGTATAATTTTTCAGTAAGACGTTTTCTTGGTTATACCTCTGAGAGGGAAGGTGCTGGGGATACTAAAGTAGTCTCTTAAAAAGGAGGACAAAATAAGAAAAAAACCAACCATAAAACTTGTGGTGAAAGACGTGGAAATTTGTAACAGATGATAAATTTTAACTTGGTTGCTGTGGAGTACTGAAATCAATATTGGATTTTTGTTTCTGCTTCCTTTTTTGCTAGCTGCAGGCATTTATCTGGGAGTTTAAATAGCAGTCCAGAAAGCTATCATCTCTACTTGAACCAAGCTGAGTGGAGTGCAGAAGCCCTCGTTCTTTGCTGCTTCAGAAATCTCCGTGCTCCATTTAGAATTGCTGTAAATAAATGAAGACTTTACCATTTTTTATCCATTTTTATCCTCATCCATTCCAATTCCATTTTGCATATGTTTCAGAGATTCAACTATTTCAGTTTGTCTGCTTGGTCTAATGCAAGGACCTAGAGGTTTCCTTGCAAAGCAAAATTTCTTAGTCATTGGAAGTGAAATAGATCCAATATTTGTGTTCCCCAGACCATAGGTATATGTCTTGAATTTCCTTCAGTGAGCTCTTATTTCCTCCACAACCTAATTTAGCATTTAAGTTGTGTTGGTAGTGAACTGTCCGTTAATTTAGGTCAATACTTAAATAACCCCTGCTTGTGTCAAAGCTGCTTCTCTGCTTTGGATCATCAGCTTTCCAGGGGACCTTGGGAAGCCACGCCTCTGTGCGAGGGCCAATATTTGATTTACCACATCTAAACTTGAAATGGAGTGCTGTTATTTTCCCATAATTAAAGGAAAAAAAGCCTATCGTACCCATCTAGGAGTTTTATTTGCTATTGCTTGCTTACTATTTCTTCAGAAGGGCATTATTCTTGCAAATTTACAAACTCCTAAGCAAAAGCATAGGGGTTTCAAGACACTATGTGTATTCAGGGTACTATACTTAAAGCATATTACCTGTGTGCAAAGCATGTATATGTTTATTCCCTACAATCTCATTCACCATTACAGGATCAAAAAACGGATGAAAACATTTGGAAGATACTAATACTTGTTACAGTTGTGTGCCACTGATTTTCTTGTATCTGCTGCTCTCGAGGCCTAAAATAAAGCATAGTATGCAACTTCTTATGCACTTGAATTACAATAAAGGAGTAAAAACCAAAATACTGTGGCAGTTTTCTTCAGTTTGGAGTCTGAAGTGGTAAAAAAGACAAGGGGCAGACTCATGCTGTCGGGTAATTTGAAAACAAAATAGCCCTTCTGCATCGTACCGCTGAGCCCGTGCGCAGCTCCTGTTCTTGCTGAGGGCTGCTCCCCGTGCAGCAAAGCCTGTCCCCCGACGTGGGGATGGGTAGGTCCAAGCCGCTCCGGAGCTGTGGCCATCTCGTCAAAATTTGTGTCGTCTCTGCCGTTCACTGGGTGGGAGGTGCTGCTAAAAAATTCCCCCAATTTTTAAAAAGATCTTAAAACTTTCTGAGATTTTGAAGGTGGTAAGTACTGCTGAGATAAATAAAATAATGTGTTGACCCGCTGCACAGCTAGCTGTTAGATGGAATTATTCCTCAGGCCTACACTTTGAAATAGTTGTTATGAAAAGTTGGCTGCATGAGCTGAAGTTCCCAGTTAAGCAAGCTGATAACACAGAATAGTTTGTGGGGCAGAGTTCCTCTCTTAGACCTGGGTGTTGATTTCTGAGATAAGATTTCTGCCAGATGGTATTTTTAATGGAAATGAAACACGCAGCACTTTAAAAAAAAAAAAAAAAAAGGAAAAAGTCAGGTTCCGTATCTCCTGATCACTCAGTAGCAAAACAATCTTCAAGGTCATTT